ACTTCAAAAGAAAAAAAATCAGTGTAATTTACCACATGCTATCTTATAAATATTTTTTTTCAAAAAGGATAAAGAATGTATTTTTCATTAGCTCTAGCAGATATGTAAAGGAATAGAGAACAAGGGATTCTATCCTAGTCTTTCCAAAAGCACACAAATACACAAAGGGACATGGAGAAATTGTCATTGCTCTAAGTATTTTTTAAAAATATCCTATGAGAATTAGAAATTTATCACAAAAATGGACCAGTTTTGTATACAAAAAGCAGCTCCAGCCAAGTTATCCTAGGGGACAAACTTGCAAAAGAAGATAACATTCATTTAACAAAAATTGTGTGAGATTAAAATGAAGGTTAAAATGTAGAGATAGGAAAGCAGAACATTTCTTAAAACCTATTTGCTGCTAACAACAGAAACATGGAACCCACTTTTAACTGTTGTTACATCACCCTGATTTTTTGCACAATAAGAAAGGTGAGGTCTACACAACAGACAGGTAGATGAAAAGACAGATGTCCTTATGAGTATTTACTCAGGATCAGAAGTAAGTTCCACATATTTCAGTAGATCCTGAATTCAGTCAGACATGCACTTTTCACATGCAAATACCTTAACCACTAAAACTTAAAAGAGCTATATGTCCATGGAGAATTTCTTTTTGCTAACCTCTAAAATGAAAAGGTGGAGGCAAAGAATAGTAGGTAGAGAATTCTTGTTATTTTTGGTTATGTGAGGAATTTTTCATTTTTCCCCCAACCCAATGGAATGATGCAAATTATGTAAAAGGGCTTGAGATTCTGCCTGTTTGTCTATTAGCAGAATATCTCTCTGAAAACTGAACAGGATACATAGGATCAAATTTGGTATGAAGGGAGAAGCTGGCAAAAAAAAAAAAAGATCAGGATCAAAAAACAATCTGAAGTCAGTTCAGGGCTGTAGAGAAAAGAGTACTTGAAAAATGCTCCCAAAACATATCTATGGAAAAGGCAATAGGGCAGTGATTCAGAATGTTGCTAACTACTCCATTCTAAGCCCTCCCTCCCCCAGTCACATGACCCCAACCATCCCATGCTTCCCAGTGAACACATACATACAAACACACACAGATGCAACATGTTACTTTGTTACCCAGAAGAAAATACAGATGCCTCCTATGGTTAGTGCTGGTAAAAAGGTTAGAAAGAGTTTAAGAGGCCATACTTTGCAGCATTCCCTACCTCTTCACTACACTTCCTGTAAAGCACTTTTGATAGAAGCACCACTGAATGGATGTTGCTAATTAAGCATCTCCATGCAAAATGTATTTTGAAAAGGAACTAAGAGGCCTACAGCTTGAAATTCTTAGAGAAAACACATATACTACAGGTAGTTCTCGCTTAATGACCATTCATTTAGCGACTGTTCAAAAATATAACGGTGCTGAAAAAATGGACTTACGACCCATGCCTGAAGTTATGGCTCTTGCAGCACCCTCATGGCCACATAATTAGAATTCGGGTGCTTGGCAGCCCGCCCACCCTTACGACCAACAGGCACTGCAATTTCCCCCACCTGCCTATCTCTCCCCCCGATCTATGATCTTTTGGCCATCCTGGACAGTGGCACTTGGCAGCAGCAGCACCAGGGCTGGAACTGAAGTAGATGTCTGGGCCCTTCATCGGTGTCAGCCAGCTGCCACTACTGCCACCACCATCCCAGGCCTCTATTTCAGCCCCAGCACCACCACTGCCATTAAGAAATGCCTCTGCAAGGTCCTTATTGTGGCCAGCCACCCCAGCACCATTGCACAAAGCCTCAGTTGCCCCCACCACCCTGTGCTTCATAGGCTCTGCCACACCCAGGTGACCTTCGCCATTTTCCTCCCGCTGCTGATGAGGCACACCCAGCCTGACCCTACTTTATGTAAGGCAGCTGCTGGCTGCGCCAGGCCTTCTTCCTGAGGCCACTTGCACCATTTTCCTAGCCGCTCACACCATTCCTTCTCCAAATTGCGTGTGGCATTCCTTCTCCAAATTGCGTGCCTCATTCTGGCGGTCCTTCGGAAACCTTCTGGTTTTCCCCAGGCCTCATGAGAACAGGTGCACTATTTGGAGAACAGCAGGAGCCCTGTTCTCGCAATGCTTCAAAAGACCTCATTCTTCAGATCGTGTGCCCCATTCCTTCTCAAAGCAAACTTCAGCTTCCTAACATCCTCTTCATGAAAAGCTCTGTAAGGGTGGGTAGCACTATTCCACACTACACCACATGCAGCCAGGACCAGATAGGAAAGGAAACTTTGCCAATCTAATACTTTTATTAATCTATTAACTTAAATTTAGATTCTATCTTTCTGCCAACAGGCAGAACTCAATACACTAACAAGAGTAATTTTATAAGAGTATCATTGAAATACACACACAAAATGTAAAAACATATTAATAACATGCTTCCATCTTCATGAGTTATGACTTATTACAAGATGTTAAAGGCCTAGCTAAATAAAAGTATTTTTCCTTATAGCTAGAAAGACAACAGAAAGGAAATTTGTTTGAAACTCCATGCAAGGAAGTTTCAAAGCCAGAGCATGTGCATTATGTTCCCACCAGATATACATTTAAAGGAGATTTCTCCTGAATACTTTAAGTCCTGGGCAGTGTTATAACAATAATCTTCCAGAGTCCCTGTTCCCAATTTATGTAGTGCTTTACATGTCATAATTCCCTGATTCTCCCAATCCTTCTAATAATATTTCAGGCACATCTCTTCTACCAGCAAACAGTAATCAACCAGCTAACAAGACATTTTTGTTATTTATTTATTACTCCAATTTTTATAGCTGCCCATCTCAAATATAATACTCCAGATGGCTCATACGCAATTAAAAAACAATATAAAAACACCAAAACAATATAACGATTTAAGAACAAAAATATATTGAGGCAGTGGGCATGTATTCAGGTAGACCAGGCAATCACTTCCCCCTTTCTACCTCAATCTACCAAAAGAAACACCCTTCACCCTCATTTATTCCCAAAGAGGTTCTCCCAAAGAAGGGAGCTTTTTTGGTGTCACTCCTTTAGGTAGTGAGCTGCCTCTAGGATAGTTGCCTTTTTGCATTTCAGCTTCCAGAGTTGGAGTTTTTGAGCTGTTTGGGCTTTTTTATTTCTCTTGCTGACGTAATTCTTAGTAGTAAGTAGCAAGAAGATGATGAAAATAGAACACTCTTATGCTAAAGAATCCTATCTGAAAGGGGCAACAAATAGGAGGGACCCATATCTGCTAACAATTATAAGAACAGAGCCATAGCTGAAACAGTCACAACTTTTATTAAAAATTATTAATGGCATACAGTGCATCATCTCATGGAAGGCCCCTGAAAGATAGCTGAGTAACAGATGCAGCTATTTCCATCATTGTATGTTTTTGCTGGCTATAACTGCACCTGTTACATTTCCATCTGTGAAAGGCCCAAGAGTCTCAGGACAAAGATAGCAACTTCAGACAGGAACAGCTGCTATTATCCTTTTTTGTAATCTGCAGAAGTCCCGGTGGGGAATAGTTATGCCTCTGGGAGTGTTGGATGGCTGCCTTGTTGTCTGTGGAAAGATGAGAGAAATATGTACATAGTGCTGCATAATGCATAGTAGTTAGAACAGTGCTGTAACTGTGTGATTATTGAACAAGTGACTGGAACAGTATGTTTACCTGAGCATTTTCCTATTTCATATCTCACAACCAAATTCCCCCACCCTTCCCAGGGATATGAACCCAGGTCATTAGGAATTCACTTTTGAGTAACTGTAACAAAGTAATACTCACCCATTCACGAGGAACCGAACAAAACTTGATTTGTGGTTATAATTTGTTCTGCAGCCACGTGCCTTGGCTTTGCCTCTGTAAGAAAAAATGAGTTAGCAGTGTTTGGCTCCATACTCATTTTTCAACAAGAAAGGAAACTGTGTTCCCCACTGCCTACCCCATACAGAGCTCTGACTTTTGTTAGCAACAAGGGCTCTTAGATTGCACCTCTAATAAATGAGGTAGAATTGTTTAGCCACATATTCCACATATTCTAGAGGGGCAGATAAAAACACACTGTAATCTTGTGTGTTCCTTTGCTCCACAAACCTGAGAGATGGTTTTTGGGACATGATTTAGAAGACCCAATTTAAAGCCTGAGTTCCCCTGGCTACAATGCTCCCTTGCTTACCTTTTATTTTGTCCTTGTATCCTTGATTGTAGGAAAGAATGGAAGTTCCTTGTGTTTGATTCTGGAGCTTAGAGGTAGGATACCTATAATGGTTCTGAAAAGATATATTATCCATCCATCCTTCCTATTTTGTTATTGACCTTAACTGTTCACTTTAAGCCATATATCATAAAGCTCTCATCACCAAGCTGTGCACTTGTACATTCATGGTTATGGGGAAATGGAGCCTAAATGATGTTAACCCTTTGTCACAAATGTTGCAATATGAACTCTGTTTTCTTGCTATATTTATATAATACTAACACTATGCTATGATTGGTTACTAAGATGGTCAAAATCCTTTCCTCTGTAGTAATGTAATTAGGTAGCATGAGAATGTCTCACTATCAATAATCATATCAATAACTCTTCTTTATTTGAATTTTTTATCTTATTAACTGAATGGAATAGAATAAATAAAGCATAAAATTGAGAAATAGCAAATCGGAATATTTTATGACAGCTACTTTTAATATTCATCATTGCATACTTGCTTATTTTATTATATTTGTAATGTATCTGGTAACAAGGTGCTGGACTAGAAACAAGGTGATTGTGAGTTCTAGCCCTCCCTTAGGCATAGAAGCCAGCTGGGTGATTTGCGGTCAGTTACTCTCTCTTAACCCAATCCACTTTACAGGGTTATTATTGTAGGGAAAATAGAAGACAGGAGCCTTGTGTTGTACAAAATAAAGGCAAGATATAAATCAAATCAATCACTCAAATAAAAAATAAATGGTACCCTTATGGTATGGGCTTTTTATGTACTTACCATTATCTGGAAAAACATAAGATTTGGTCACAGTTTTTGCATTTTCTTTTGATTTTGTAGGTTTTTTAGACTCTTGATTGTGTCCAATCTTCTCCTTTCTCTTTGGAGGTTGAGGAGAAGACACTGTGTCTCCTGTGTCAGTAGATTTTGACTAATGTGATAATTCAATGAAAGGGAAAAAACAGATAATAATAATAATTAATTTGTAGGAACCTGAAAAAGAGCTATTAAATATCAACTTCAAATGTATGCATATAAAGGCTTCCTTATTATAAATATTTCTAAATTGTAACTTTAACATCATTGTACTTCAGCTTTAATATGAAAAAATCAACTTATTCACAGTTAGATAAATTCAAGGCAAACAAGAAGGTCAAGCAAAAGCCCTGTCTATGTGCTTCCTTGCCATGTCTGACAAGGTATCTGTGAGTGAATCTATAAAGGAAACATAACTTTGATGGGATTAAACACAGTAAACCATGAAACCTGTATTATATTTGATACTTACACTCCCCTTTGATTTTCCAGATCCACCAATAGGTGGTAGTGAGGATGACTTTGAGCTGCAGAAACAAATAAATGTTTATTTATTTACACACTAAAACAGCCCAACTATTGCCAAAAAATGTATTTCAAAGATGTCTAGAAACAATTATTATGTTTTGCTGTGTTCTCTGTAACAATTATTATAGCATATCCTAAACAGACTGCACAGAGTTGCTATAGTTCTCCTCATTTCTCTGAGGTTGGGTCCAGCTGGTGTTGGCAGGACAGAGATATCAAGCCAGAGACTCCTCCTATGGGGGGTGTCTCAGAGCTAGATGCTCTCGCTCTTCCTGTTTAACATCTACATGAGACCACAGGCTGAGGTCATCTGTTGACTTAGGGTCCAATATCACCAGTATGCTGATAATTCCCACCTATATATCTCAGCCCTGAACCAACCAGCTGATGCTGTCGAGGTCTTGTCCCAGTGTCTGGAGGTTGGGTGGGTCTGGATGGGGAGGAACAGACTTTGGCTCAACCCTGATTAGATAGAGTGGCTGTGGATGTTTGGACCTCCTAAGCCTGGAACGGTTCCATTTTTGGTCTGGAATGTGATTGCACTTCCCTCCTCAAGATTGGTATGCAACTGCTATAGCTGAGAGGGCCTTTGACAAATTTATCTGTGTGCCAGTTGGGCTTATATCTAGACCCTTGGGCTTGATCATTTCATGACTGAACTATTGCCATGGCCTGCCCATATGACACTTCTGCTCCATGAACTGTACTGGTTGCCAGTAAACTTCCAGGTGTAATTCAAGGTTCTGGTTATCACTTTAAAAACCCCTCATGGCATAGGGCCTGTTTATCAGAGGGACCGCCTATCCCCTGTAGTTTCTATCTGTCTCACACAATCTGACTGATACAGCATGCTTTGGGTTTAATTGATTAAACAACGTCACTTGGAAGCAGGAGTTTTCTGTCATGGTGCCTGTCCTCTGGAACACCATTCTCCCCGAGATTTGTTCAGCATCTCCCACCAGGTCCTATTTAAATGAGCCCTTAAAACCTGGCTCTATTCCCAGGCTCCGGCTTAGACTGGGTGATGGACCCCTTGAATGATGTTCTGATTTTTCTAAATTATTGTTGTTGTTTTCTGGATTTTTGAAGGTGTTTTTTTTTTGGTGTGTTTTTATTGTATTGTTACTGTGGATTTCGTAAGCCATCTAGAGTTGTAACATACTGGGGAAGCCTATACATTTCATAAATAAATAAATCTTATTAAATATTACAAAGTTTAACCATTTCACTAGTTAACTTTGCACTGGTAAGATGAAAACCAAACAAGTATTATTACTCTGTGTGTGTGTGTGTGTGTGTGTGTATTTGAGAGAGAGAAACCATGTGTACCAGGACTGCTCAAAAACATGCTTGGCAGAATGCTGTTAGCCTGGACTCAAACTCTACAAAATGGATGGAAAGACCATTTACACATAATTATTCATCCAGTGTGATCTGATATAATCTGCAACGGGATACTATGTTTTTGTGTGTTTGTGTGTTATCTAATAAAGAGCTTTAAAGGGCAGTAGTATTTTAGGTTCAACCAGAAAATATTTGTTCAAAAAGCAACAAAAGACTGGGTATAAATAAGAAGCTGCTGAACTGAGTATGCTTGATTTTACAACTTTGTTATTCCAAAGGCAACTTTTGATCTACCATTCTACAGCTGGACTCACACTCACACATTATGCTCAGCCTTAATGTAGCTTGCTAGATATAGCTTCACATGTTGTATGAGCACAGCCATTGTGCTTTGTAAAGCATAGTTTAAGAACTATGCTTTACAAAGCATAGAACCAGGTCTATGAAGCATAGAACCAGCTCTATGAAGAGTGTTTAAGTGGAACAAAGTTGCTTTAGTGCTGCATCAGTCTAAGCAAAACCTTTATTTACAATATCTTCTAATCTACTAATTCACAAAGTACATTTTTATCCATACATGTAATCCCAAACACTCCCAGATATAAATGCTTCCAAGGACAAACATGACATGAATTAGGTGATCAAGGTGAACAAGTAGTATCAGCAATTATACCTTGCTACTTCTTCATATATCTATAGAAATCTACAGTCAGCCGAATCTCAACTGTGACCACTCTGGCAATATCTGTTTGTTGTTAAGGGCCAAGAATTGTTAACACCATGTTATCACAATTTTTGTTCATCAATAAAGCTAGGTACATTCACATACCCGTAAGATCTCTTCACTGTGGACTTGCTGAACAATAATTCACCGTATGGCAATTTCTTAAACTTATCTCTGCCAACTGCTACATAAAACTGACCATTTTCCAAATCCAACCCACTTTCAACAGGTTTTCCATCTAAAGTGTAAAGCCTGTAAAAGAGATATAATAGCAGCATATTAACCTTTTAATAAATGCTGTTCTCTAACAGTTGAATTGCAGTATCACCCAACAAACACCTGATAAATCTCATGATACATTGTGAGCTTTATTTCAGAAAGAAATAAATGAATCTTGAGTCTCATCAAAAGAAAAAATATAAACTATAGCCAAGGAATTTGTACAGGAAAAGTTCTCATGAATTTGCTCTACTTCGTAGAAAACTGGCTTTACATATCCAAAGTCATATTTACAAAGCTGTGATCATCAGTGATTCTCAGCAAAATTGTCCACTATTGTTCCACAGCAAAAGCAAAAATGTAAATTTGTATATTGCACACTGCCAGTATGAAAGGCTGTCTGCCTCACAGAACCAATAAACAACAATCAATACCAAGAATAAAACAACCTAGAATAATGTAATAACATGAAACAACCTAAAATCAAGCAAATATTACAAAATTACTGTAACAAAACAATAGATCAGGAACATTAAAAGCACACAGAGTCAGCAGTTAAAAACTGTTAGTAATCCATAGATACTATGGAGGAAAATCTAAAAAATAAAAATAAACTTTCAGAATTTCTTAAATCGTGTCAATGAAGGGGCTGAGCAAATAAACTGGGGGGTGGGAAATGCAGAGAGCAGGGGCTGCCACCAACAAAAATCTAGCCCGAGTTGACACCAGGAGGGCTTCTTCCCAGGGTGCCATACACAAGAGGCCTATAATAGCAGAATGTGATGCTCTGGTAGCAACATACAAAAGATGTTCCATTAAGTTGAAGGCACTCTAGCCGTATAGAGATTTAAATGTAACAAAAAAATTGAATGTAACTTGGGAAGCAACTGGAAGCCCGTGCAGTTCAGCCAAAACAAGTGATACATGCTCCTGCTGGGATTTACCCAACAGAAGTTTAGCTGCTGTGGTTTGCAAACCTCCTTCAAGGCCATTTTCCATCTGGAGCCCTTTGCAGTAATCAAATGGGTAACAGGAGCCAGGTCAGATCTCACAAAGAAGGGATGCAGCTAGTAATTACCTGCAGATAGAAACAGGCACTCCTGACTCCCATGCTGATCAGAACATTCAGGGACAGCACAGGGCTAAGGAGCTTCCCTAAACTGCAGACCTGACCCTTCAGGAGAAGAATAGCCCCATCTTGGACAGGAAAAGTCCCTTCAGATTGGTTGAGAGCTCCCCCAACCACCAAACCTCAGGCTACTCTAAATTCAGCTTCAGTCCATTATCATAGCCCATTATCCTAATTCATCCAGTTTGCAAAAGACAAAAGAAAGAGAGAGATGAGGGGAAGGGTCTTCACATAACTGTCCCTGTTTCTCCCACCTGCCCTATTGTTAATTAAATGACTCTTTGTGTTTGAGAAGAGAACTCTCTTGTGCTTCAGACTTCATTGTTGTCTTCCCTCTCAGGCTTTTCTATCTTCATGTATTTCTTGATAAAACTAACTTTTACTACAAATACAATAAATATATTCAGTACTTGGTTATGTTCAGGAACATATCCTCTAACAAAGATTCCTGCTGAATCCATATCTCCAACATGAAGGCACTAGAGAAGGATAGCATGGCCAATGTGATATCTAAGAACACAAGTGGGGACAAGTTACTCCCTATCATGCTCCTTTAGCAGGTCATCCATCAGAATGACTGGTGCCATATCTGTGCTATGATGCAGACCAAAGCTAGACCTTAATAATCTGTTTCATGCAGAAATACTTAGAATTGTTTCTCACCACCCTCTCAATCACTTGGCCAGGAATAGCAGATTTGAAACTGGCTTGAAGTTATTAAAAAGCATGGTTTTTTAAAGTAGAACTAGAAAACATGGCTTTTTACTGTGCACAGAATACTATTACATAGGCAGCCTCGATTTTAGCATTTTACTATTACTTAAATTGAGAGTCAGTTTGGTATAGTGGCTAAGGCATCAGGCTAGAAACCTGGAGACCGTGAGTTCCAGTCCCTCCTTAGGCACGAAGCCAACTGGGTGATCTTCTGCAAGTCACTCTCTCTCAGCCCTAGGAAGGAGGCAATGGCAAACCAAGTCTGAAATCTTGCCAAGAAAACTGCAGGGACTTGTCCAGGAAATCACCAGGAGTCAACACTGACTTGAAGGCGCACACACACACATAAATCACTTAAATTATAGTTAACAAAAATATGTATTTAAGAGAATATCTTATACCCAACAAGCTATTCCTACCTCATCCTTATCTTGAGAAATTGTTCAATATCTGCACCACTAACAATAGCCACTAGATGGGATGTAAGGCCAGCTTATTTACAGAATTATTCAAAATGCTGATAGTTAATCAGGGTAGTTGAAAGAAAAAGCTACAAATCAAACCCTTAAAATTTCTGCTGATGCAGTACCATTTAAGGGTCAAGCACAGTTTCAGGATAAGTACACAGACTGGAGTTCTTCCACATAGCTCCATACTGAACCATGACCCATTTAAATTTTTCCACATGCTTTTCAGATTCAAAACTGTTTCAGCTTTTTAAAAACACAAAACAAAACAAAAACTAAAAGTAACATAGATTGCTAGATTTATATGGATTACCAAGTAGTAGATTTGTTAGATGGAACACAAAAATATTTAAGCTTTCCATAATTCTCATAACCCTATACAGCTACTGTGTACTTAGCTGAATTACATTTTGACATTCAAAACAAATATTCATTGTAGAGAGTCTCAGAAATGCTTCCTGTACAACAGTGCTAGTTAACTGAAATGCACCATGACGCTCTTAATATAAAAATGTGTAGCATGGACAGAATTTATCAAACAGGCTTGACAGCTTATGCACAGTATCTCATTTTTTAAAAAACAGATTTAGCTAATTTTCCAGTGCTGTGATTTTAATCACACGAATGATGTAGAAGTACTCTTCCATGAACTAAAGCTATGTAGCAAAGTACTATTTACAATGGGGATTATCTTTGGGTTTTTAGACTCAATCTCAAAATTCATGAAAAAAAAGTAATGACATGAGCCTTACGGTGCTTCCATGTAAGGCTTCTATTGTCCAATTCCTCTAAGTTATTCACAGAATATTATTTGGGGGGAAAAGGCCATATATGATTGTCTTGCATTTATAACTCCCTCATATTTCCCTACTATTGCTTCCATCTTTTTTCTAATGAGGAAAAAAAAAAGCCATTAAGGAAAGCTAGAAGAGGTGAAAGATATCTTTGACAGATAGCTCTAGGAGCTCTCTATCTGGAAAAAAAATGGCATTACTGTATATGTCTCTAACTGACACTTTGGCAGCATAATTTCCATCCCCAGTTCCTAGACCACAGGCAGATGACATTTTTGTAGTCAGGGATCACTTTTTAAAAGCTTTGTTTTGTTTTGTTTTAGTCTTCTATGGTCACAATGGTAGTGATACAATTATGGCAATTGAGAGGGCAGAGAGAGTAATTAATGTCTGTCCTTAAAAGCTTTGTTTTGTTTTGTTTTAGTCTTCTATGGTCACAATGGTAGTGATACAATTATGGCAATTGAGAGGGCAGAGAGAGTAATTAATGTCTGTCCTTAAAAGCTTTGTTTTGTTTTGTTTTAGTCTTCTATGGTCACAATGGTAGTGATACAATTATGGCAATTGAGAGGGCAGAGAGAGTAATTAATGTCTGTCCTTTTTATGTTTTGTTAAAATTATTTTAGGATTTGGTTTAAGAAAAAAAATGCACTAGGTCTGTCAAAAGCTTAGTGCACCCTCGTTAAGTCTTATCTTTTAAAACATAAATGAACAATTCCATGCCAAAAGTTGGCAATTCTACTGGATTTCAGCAACTTGAAACTGGAGGGCTGGACAAGCAACATGGGCTGCAAAGTGCCCATCCATGTTTTAGCACTCCTGTCTTCCTGCACAGCCTCATTTAACATCCTAGCTCATGTAATTTTTATTTACCAATAAAATAAGTGGATTTTCTTCTTCATTTCCAATTCTAATATATTTCAATTAGATGGGCTCAATTATTTAGGCTACCCAGGATTAGCAGCAATTAATTTTCTATTCCTATCTTTGGCTTAATTTGATGGAGTTGTTAGAAATGAGGTGAATTGGTTATTCTCATATACCAGAAATAATATTCACTAATCCTACAATCTCTATTATTACTGACATGGGTAACTGAGAGCAAAAAAAACCCTGTATTGTTTTGATCAATCTTGCTGTGCCATACTGAAAAATTAATTGTGCATTCATTTATTTAATATCGAGTTTTGTCTTTATCAGAATTAACAGTCTTTACTGGAATTTTGACTAATGGAGTCTAGTTACCATAAATCACAGTAGCTAACTTGTTAATTATTAAACAGTAATAAATTTTAGTAGCTTTAGTGTGTTCTCTTAAGAAATCAAATACAAAAACTTGATTTACAGAAAACCAGGAAAATGAAATAATCACAATGCACTTTTGAAATATCTCTCATTCTGTATTAAAATAGCAAATTAATCACTAGTCATTCTGGTGGAGTTCTGGTGGAGAAAGATGAGAAGCAAACCTGACCAAGTCTAAGTACAAGTTCAGTGGGGATACTGGGGGCAGATCAGCCAGGCAATCACTCCCTTGTGGGATGATACAAGACTCACAGCTCTCCCCTCTGCTTTTTAACATGTATGTGAAGCTACTAGGAGAGGACATCTTTCAGTCTGGGGTGTGGTATCATCAGCATGCTGATAATACCAAACTGTACATCATTATCCTGGATCAGAGATACTGTCTTGTTCTAGTGTCTGAATGCTGTCAGGATCTTGACAGGACAAACTGGTTGAATCCCAGCCAGACAGAGTTGTTGTTTGCTCATCAGGGTGCTGTGACTACTCCAATATATCTCTTAACAAGGTGGCAGGTTCATGATTTGGGGTCCTACTGGACTCATGGCTACTCCTGGATGAGCAAGTGGAAGCCATGGCCAGAGGGATCTTTGCCCAAGTCTGATAGTGTGCCAGCTATGGCCCTACTTGGAGCAAGAGGACTTTGCAATAGCAACTCATATCTTCATCACCACTCATTTGGAAAACTCAAATGTACTCTACTTGGGATTGAATACTACTCAGAAGTTTCATTTAGTCCAAAACTCAGCACCCTGGCTATCACTGGTGCTTGTCATTGTGAGCATATTATACCTGTGCTCCAGGCCCTGCACTAGCTTTCAATTATCTTCCAGATACAATAACCTATACAGGTAGTCCTCGCTGAATGACAACTCATTCAGCAACCATTCAAACTTATAATGGTGTTGAACTAGGAGTACTTATGACAGGTCCTCATAGTTGTGGCTGTTGCAGACTTCCTGCAGTCACATGTTCGCGATTCGGGCACTTGGCAACCTGCTTGCAATTACCACATCACAGCATCCCATGGTCATGTGATTTTTATTTGTGACCTTCACTGCCAGCTTCCGACAAGCAAAGTCAATGGGGAAGCCAGCAGGAGGTCACAAACGGCAATCACATGACCATGGGATGCTGTGATCACACGGGATTCACCTAACGACAACTGGGACTGCCAAAACTGCTGTCATAAGTCACTGTGGTCACACGATGTTGCACCTTATGACCTTAGCGACAGAGTTCCAAGTCCAAATTACTGTCAGTAAGTGAGGACTGTCTGTAAAGCTCTATAGGACTTGAGACCGAGATACTTGTAAGACTACATCCTCCAACTGGTATTGATCAGTTCAACTCATATGTCCTGACAGAAACTGTTGATGATCCCCAACTTCTGCAAGGTATGGGGAGCAGAAGCTCATAGGTGCTGTTTCTCAGTAGCAGCATTTATTTTACAGAACAGCCTTCTCTTAGAAAGTAAGTTGCCCCCCACCCCATCCTAGCCTTTTAGAAACTCCTGAAACTGAGTTATTCTGGAGAGCCTATGTTGAATGATAGGATACACATTCTGATTGTTCTTCTGATTTTATGGTTCTAGAATTTTATATATTTTAGTCCATTTCATAGATATTTTATTTAAATACCTGTGTTGCTTGCAATTATTGTAAACCACCAAGAATCTTGTGACTGTGCCATTCTTAATATGATAAACAGAAAAATAACTTTGACCCAGAATCTTTCTGATTGTTTTAATACACAAAACAGAGACCAAACCTATATGTATGTAACCATAGAACAATCTGTTTTTCCCCACAAAGGGAGTGATTTGGACTGAGATAGCAATTCTAAAAAAATCAACTGTAGTATGGAAATTAATGTCCTTCAGAGCTATTATCAGTAAAAGAAGACAATATCAACAGAAGACAATATCAGTTTTGAACTTGTTTTTTCACCCTTTGTGCCAAATAGTTGCTTAAGAGTACAGAGAAGAATATGATAATCCTGTACCCCCAAACCAATATCCCCTGCAAAGCTGTTTTTAAGGCTAAAAATATGTAACTGAGAATCAGACTATAAATCTTGCAGAAATTTAGTAATTTAGCTCTCAGAAATATAAAATACAAAGGAAAAAACAGAATGACTGCAATGTAATGAAAAGCATTCACAAGGAAGAACAGTCTTGTCAATTATTAATTAAATGACATCATTTTAAGCTTTGTGAAAAATAACTCTTTTGGCTATAATAGAGAGGAGAATCACAACAAAGGGCTCCAGTGTTCTTAACAAACGTTTAGATAAATGTGTTCCCTGAGTTATTCTATTCATGAGGAAAAATGCCAGCTCAAACACCCAAAGGATGTATTTTTGTAATATTTGAACTACTTCAAAGAGAAAAGCAGTAATAAGGTAAAATAAATAATTTGGGTGTATCTCTGTCCCAAACATTATATGAATGAGATAAACAGCCTATTACATGCACTACTAAAGAAATGCCAAATGAATTGAGGTACTGTACTACTATAAATTTGGAAAATTTGTATTATTTCAAAAACATTTTCTCAAACTAAAGGCTGTAGTGAATCCATGGGCATAATCTAGCTGATTCAGTCCAATTCCTGCAAACTGCTCATTGGGGGGTTTTTTCCTAGAACAAAGAGCATCATATGACAATGAATATAAAAGACAACTATGGTAATATTCTACTTTTATATCTCCAAATCAAGTGCCTGCTCATTCTTATATTGCACACCGTTTGAACAAGCCTAATCAACTTTCCATGCCAAATATGATCATGAAATCTCAGTTTCATGGGTTTTCCTACTACACATGGGAGAAACCAGCTCTATATGAAAAGGGTAGCTAGTACATTGCTGCTCCTACATTTTTAGTATTTGAAATGAAATGTGTTTGTATGGTGAATGAGACTAGAAAAAGATATCTGTATTTGATGCAGGGATGCAGTTCAGAGGCTAACAGAAATCATATATTTTTATCTATTTCTAAGCACTTTACTTCCATACTGAATCCCCCCGTACCAAAATGATATCACTCATAATGGACAGATTTTTCTGGCCACTCAGATAAGCAACAGTCAATAAATATGATCAGGGAAACTCTAACGCTATCTGCTAATCCAACAGCAGAAACTATAGAAGTAGCATCACCCATCTGATGTTTGGAGGGAGCAAGACAGACACTATAGAATGGAGAGTCATCCTGGTTTGAAATCCCTTATTTCTTAGAGTTTAGCAAGGTAGTTGTTGCTAAAGCACTGAACTTTAAGTATAAGGCAACAGACATTTTGCACTGGAAATCCAAAAGTCAGGTTCCAGTGTCTTATCTCTAGCACTAATGAAACAGCATTCTGATTAGTATCAGTTGATTTTACACCTGATCATAACATCCATGAAACCAATGAATTTCTACTTGGCTCTAGAAAAACTCAGCCCTGAAATAGATGCTAAGGGAGTGAGGAAAACCTCCTTTGACTCAGATCTTCAACTCCTGCCCCTTTCAGATTATAAGGGGCTAACATGTCAAATTATGGTCAGAACCAGTTATTGCTTAATTTAAATAATACCCGCATTTAATCAACACACATTTCTCAAAATGACAAATAAGCAATCAAAGCAAAGAAACTATTGACCTATGTGAAACTTTACAACTGTGAAACTTAGCTTCCAAATACAAACTTTCCTTTCGCTTTCCAGGCCTTTCTTATATAGATATCAATGGAATGTATTCTATCTGGATTTCTGCCTAAGACCATAACTGTTGGTGATGCCAGACTTGCCTGCCTGCTTACTTCATAATATTATCCCTACCAAAACTTACTTCTGCAATATGTTCAACATCAACCACTGCTCTGTATTCAGAAAACACTTTAACAGTAAGCCAACAAAATCTATGGACTTTATCTGGACAAACACTTACAGGACTCTACTTGCCAGTAGAAGTCCAGGCAATAACTGTCAAACAAATGAATACCAAATGTACACGTATAGAAGCTTCATGAACTTATTACTATCAAGTAACAAAAGTGACAAATCATCTTGGAAATATAAAATCCTACAGCATGTTCACATTAGAAGCTGTTCCTGCTGAGTTACAGTTCAGAGGAAGTAATCTGAAAGTGCAATGGTATCTGCAATAGGCAATTTTACCTTACCTGTGCACAGCTCCACTTCTGAGTGTAACTTTTTCAGTAACCATTTCAAGAACACGATCCCACTGATTTAGTGCTTTTCTTGGGATGAAAAGACGCACTGCTGGGTTTATGAGATCACCATTAGCAATCAGGCTAAAAAAATTATAGAAGGTTAACAATCAGCTGAGTATTCAGCAATACAACATAAAGATTATTGGGGAAAAAGCAAGGCTGAGTGATATGTCAAGTTTTTCAGGCTTGGCCACACCCCCAGTGGTCACCTAGTGGCCATTTCACCAGGTTGTGACAGAGGAGAAAAAAGCAAGGATACCATCAGCCATCCAACAGACATCCAACATCTTTCTTCTACTTAAATCTTTATAATGTTAAGAACTATCATGTGAATAATCTTTATTTCCTTTTCATACTCTGCTACCTTTTCCTTTTTTGTCATGTCTGTTTAGACTGTAAACTGCAGGGCAGGAACTCTTTTCATTAATCTGTACATTACACCGAGGAACTCTCTGGTTGAAGTATGGGTATAAATGATTTAAATAAATACTTACAATACAGTGCATGGCTCCTGAAGTGGTTTTCGAAAGCGTGCAGACACATTGATTCTGCTGTGGGTAACTGGCTTCACCTGAAAGACCCCCCAAAGTCAGGTATTTACACTGCATTAGTTTGCTTTAAGACTATTTTAAAAAAACTTTTCCATCAGTACTTTAAGGGACTTTGCACTTCAGTCAACACTATTTTGCACACCACTATGTAATTATAATTGTCTTTTAGATAAGCATTTGCAGGGTTTCTGCTTTCCCTTTCTCATCCAGCCTTTAGTTTTTCTTGTTGCTATGTATTTTCATTATAATTGACTTGAGCTTCAGAAGTTAATTAGTGCCATTATTAATATGCTAGTGGATGTTGTGGAATCAGGAATCACAGAAATTTTGCCCTCCCACTGTTGTCAGTTCTGCTAATTTCTTAGCTGTTTTTCATAGTTCATGCCTAGTGGCTTGGAAAGACATCCCTCTCATTTGACACTATGACCTAGTGCCACTAACTAGAAAAAGTTATGTTTGTTTTAAAGTTTCTTACATTCAAAAATGTCAACATGTGTTGTAAATGTAGCTTAAGTCTGCTTTGGATGTAATATATATTAAATTATTAAATTGCAGTATACTCTTTCAACACACCATGATTTAACATTCTCAGGCTTAATTCATAAAACTTTCCCTTATGTCCAAAACAAGAAACTGGGATTACTAGATATGGAACATACCAGGATCTGGAAAAAAAAACCCTTCCAACTATGATTTCAGACACTGTTTTATTTTGAACCCAACAACCAGTTTTATATTTTAAACATACAAAAAAGCTATGCTTAACTAACATTATTTAATTGTAATCATGACAAGCAGAGAAGAATATAAGGAAATGAAGAAAAGACTGCATGACATTGTATTTTAGAACCAGATCAGACACATAACCAGAAGGAGTAAGAGAAAATGAACAATCACTAGATTTATATATGTGTGTATGTATTTTATATATATTATGCACACACACAGGACCATTTCAAATATAATGTTAAACCCTGATATAGCATAAGCAGCAGTCCCAGACTCACACAATACATTCAAATTGACAAAAAGCACAGGTAGTCCTCGCTTAACATCCATTCGTTAGGCAACCAGTCAAAGTTATGATGGCACTGAACGAAGGGACTTACAACCAGTCCTCAAAGTTCTGGCTGTTGCAGTGCCTCCGCAATCACATGAACAAAATTCGGGCCCACCTACACTTAACCTTTGGCCACCTGCCTACCCACTGCCACCAGCTGCCCCTGCTGCCCATGCCGCACACCACTACTGTACCAGCCAGGGCCTTCTTTTGTGTTGCCTTCCTTCCCACCAGTGCAGCCAGAGCTTCTCTTGTGCCCCACCCAGGGCCTCTGTTCATGCACCAGCCAGGGCATCTATCTGCATGCTAGTCAGGGCCCCTGTTTGCACCAGATCCTTCTTTCACACATTGGGCTTCTTTTGTGAAAGAAGGCCCAGGGCAGGGCACAAATGGAGGCCCTGCCTGGCACACAGAGGCCCTGGGCGGGGCACAAGAGAAGCCCCAGCTGCACCAGCATGAAAGAAGGCCCCAGCTGGTACAGTAATGGTGCGCAGTGTGGTGGGCAGTGCAGTGAGCAGGGCTGGGAGATGGGGGAAGTTGGCAGCAGCAGGTAGGCAGGCAGCCAAAAGGGCAGAGATGGGGGGGATATAGGCAGGTAGGGGGAGTTCAAAAGGAGGCAGAAGAAGCAGTCTCTTACCTTACTGAAGCTTGGGGCTGGGAGAGACCAAGCCAGGAATAGCTTGGACAGGGGTGGGTCTTCACTTAATGATTTAACTGGTGGGATTCAGTTAACAATGGCAACAGGGACTGCTGGGATTGCCGTCACTAAGCAATGCGGTCATGTGATGTCACGCTTTGCTTAGCGATGGAAATTCCATCTGAATTACCATCATTAACCAAGGACTAACTGTATACACTTTTCTACCTCTATAGTATGGTAATAACTTTATTGGGAGCAAACTGCCACAAAACAATGCTTAAGTTCTCTCAAATTCTGAAATCCAAAATTCCAAAATTCCAAAATTTTGAATTTTGTTTCTGATGATCATATATGGCTATAATAGATTTTTATCTTGTTGTTGCTGTTATTTTAAAATATGAATCTCCTTCTGCTTTGGTTAGAATAGCTGACATTACTGTCCTATGGAAAACAATAGGATATAACTGTATAATATGAAAGGCAGGCTGCTGGAAAAAGATAGAAATAAATCAGATTTTTCTTCCACACTGCTTCTGCTTTGAAGTATAGTAATTTCCAAATTGTAGCTGAAACGTGTACTTGAGATTGATTTGGTTTTGTATAGGTTCCCTATCTGGAGCCAAGATTTTGTGCAGAATTTAAACAGAGGATAATCACATAGATGGTGCTATATTATTCAGGATCACATATCTGAGTGTATGTATAAATATGAATTGTCTTTATCTTTTTCTTAATTATTTATTAATATATAAAGTTTAAAGTTATGTTCTTTAAACACATACATCAATGAATATAATGAACATTTGGACTACTATGTAATATATAGGAAATTAATATAACATGTTTTCTTTCTCTGAGAGTATTCTCCCATTTGATAGCTATCCACAATTCAATTCATCATTTCCAAATACTCTGGAAAGTAACATTTTTCAAATGTTTGAGTAAAGTATTCAAACATGTTGCTTATACACATGAATGATTCCTTAGTCACTACTGGAGCTTCAAGTTTCTCAATAATCTGGAACCTCACAAATGAACATGTACACAATCCCAGTGAAAAATATGTGTAATGCACCATAGGAAGCATTAATTGTGGTATGACAATGGTTGTTTTGCTTATCAAATGATAATTTTTTTTTCTCTGAAATTAGGAAAATGATTTAGTGCATATGTGTCAATAACTGGCTAAAATCTTGTCTGGTACTGACTACCAGAAACAGAAGCTAAAACCCATACAGCATCAGCACTTCTACATATGTGTTCTACGAAGAACTGTTTTTCATTAAACAAGCTTCCATCTAAATCCTTTCAAAGCCTCCATGCTGAGATTTCCTTGGAGACATTCAATAACCAATATCTACAACTATAAGAGACTCAAAT